TAGGACAAACTAAAAGATCCGTAAAAACCCGCGTTAAAGAACACATAGCTGATGTGAAGAATAGACGCTCCGGGAAGTCTGCAGTCTGTGAACACGTACAAGATCGCCCCCGTCACTACATTAGATTTGATAGACCACAAATCCTCGCTAAAGAACACCGATTCCTTCCAAGGATGATTCGCGAGGCTATTGAAATAAAGAAACATCCTAATTTCAATAGAGAAGATGGCTGGGTGCTACCATCTGCTTGGGATCCCATAATTAATAAAATTAAATCCCAACCCAAGCATACAACTGCAAGACTTCATGATACTGTAAGTTCATACTGCGTAGATCGGAACAAAAAATTAATAATTTTTAATCTGGAGGTAGCCGTGGTTAACTATGACATTGGGACGTCATACACCTCAGTCCCCCCCGTGACCATGGGTGCTGTAAAGTGCTTGAAACGTCGGGAAAGTAAAATAAGTTAATATACGCGATAAAATCCGTAAAATTAGTTTTATAGTCTGAACTATTCAATTCAATTTATTTATTATTGCTTTTGTTGTGTGTACATGTATACATGTGTTCTTAAAATGATACAGTCTTACTCTTTCATGGTCCGAGTTGGGAATCTGTTAAAAAATCCACTGAGGTAGGACTTTGTAAGGTTACTAGTTGGTTGGAAGATAACCTACTTACATTAAACAACACTAAAACAAAATTTCTATGTTTTTCAAAAACCGCTGCTTACAGTCCACGAAACGAATTAAAAATAATAATTCACACGCATCCTTGTAATAGAAACTATAATAATCATACAACATGTAGATATCTCGGTATAATAGTTGATGATAAGCTTAATTGGGCTCCACATATTTCTTTTATTTCTAATAAAATCAGAAAGTTTATTTATGTTTTTAAGAATTTAAAAACAGTTGCAAACAGAAAACTATTACTACAAACGTACAAAGCACTATGCCAGAGCGTTATACAGTTATTGCATATGTTCCTGGGGATGCGCTGTTAAAACACATCTTATAGAATTTGAGCGAGCCCAAAGGGCTGTACTAAAAGTAATACTATCCCTTCCTTACAGATATTCGACAGAAATGGTATATAAGTTAACTGAAGTACTAAGTGTTCGAAAATTATTCATATATCAATGTCTTAGACGCTTTCATAGATGTAGTGTTCCGCAATTACAAAATTCTAAAAGAACTGTTCGTATAAGTATCCCCAAGGTAAAATCCATATTCGGCAAAAGGACTCATAGTTAGCTAGCTCCATACGAACACACACACACACGTATATAGTGTTAAACTGAGTATTAAGTATGTATTAAGTATGTATGTAATAGTAAGTGTTACTGAATGGGAAAGAACTGACTCCTGAAATACAGGGTATTCTAGTTTAGGAGTCAGGGCTCAATGATGTTGTATGAAATAGAAGTGTCAAATAAAGATTATTATTATTATTATGGGGTATTTGTATAGTTTTCTCATCTGGTTGGGCTGTATAAATATATAATTAAAAATGAAAATGATAAACTTACATAAATATCAATAAAATAAAATAAATACATAAAAATTACATAAATATATAAAAACCCAACCAGATGGAAGCCCTCGGCAGGGGAGACTAAACGGCCGAGGGTTAGGGGGAAAGGGAAAGAAATTGACTAAATCAAATCAAGAAGTTGCAGTGGTGTTTGAGAAATATTTCACTGATGTTCCTATCTTGACAAGAGAGTCACTGAATACTTCTCCAACTGTCGCCGAGTCATTACTTAAACAGAATGTTAATACCTGTTTAAAAGAATTTAGATTTGAAAAAGTATTACCGCATAATATTGTAAAATACTTCAAAACTATTGATGTAAAGAAAACCGCAGATTTGTGGGGGATTTCCGTTACAGTGATTGTGTCCATAATAGATTTAATTGCACCTCATCTTGCTATTATTTTTAATACTTGTATCGATTCTGGTGTGTTTCCTGATTTAATGAAGTATAGTAAAGTAATACCTTTATTTAAATCTGGTAGTACATTGGACCCCGCTAATTATAGACCTATTTCTGTACTACCAACTCTCAGTAAAATTTTTGAAAAAATAATTTTGGATCAATTGTTAATTTTTTTTAATACAAATAAATTACTTCATAAAAATCAATTTGGTTTTACAAGGGGTCGCTCGACGTCTGACGCCGGTGTTGAGCTTATGAAATATATTTTTAATGCCTGGGAGAATTCACAAGATGCCTTAGGTATTTTCTGTGACCTTTCCAAGGCTTTCGATTGTGTTCATCATGATACATTAATCAGGAAACTACAACATTACGGTGTAAAAAATTTGGCGCTTAGACTTATTACTTCATATTTAAGTAACAGAACTCAAAAAGTCGTCATCAATGGTAAATGTTCCTCCGGATCGGTAGTATCAATGGGCGTTCCTCAGGGCTCGATTCTTGGCCCATTCCTGTTCTTAATCTATATTAATGACTTACCTTATCTTGTAGAGGACAATCACGATATAGTATTATTTGCTGACGATACCTCTTTAATTTTCAAACTGAAACGGCAGTCAATTAAATATGACGATGTAAATAATGCTCTATCGAAACTAGTACATTGGTTTAACGCCAACAATTCGCTCTTAAACGGCAATAAGACAAAATGTATTAAATTTACAATACCTAATGTAAAACATTCGAAAACCAATGTGCTCTTAAATGGGGAGGAGTTGAGTCTTGTGGATACCACTGTTTTTCTCGGTATTACTATTGACGCGAAACTTCAATGGGGCCCCCATATATCTAAATTTGCAAGCAGACTTAGTTCTGCAGCATATGCTGTAAGAAAGATTAGAAGTCTCACAGACGTTGAGACAGCTAGGTTAGTGTATTTTAGTTACTTTCATAGCGTAATGTCTTATGGAATTTTGCTATGGGGTAATGCGACTGATATTGAAGCTATATTTGTTTTGAAAAAGAGAGCCATACGGGCGATTTATAATCTAAATTGTAAAGAGTCCCTCAGAGAAAAATTTAAAGAAATAACATATTAACTTTGGCATCGCAATATATTTATGAAAATGTAATGTATCTACATAAAAACATAAATAGCTTTAATAAGAATAAGGATGTTCATACCTTAAACACTAGGAACAAACATAAGCTTGTAATGCCACTTACTAGACTCCACAGAATTAGTAATTCATTTATGGGGCAATGTATACGCTTTTACAACAGAATCCCAGAACATGTTCAAAGTTTGTCAATAAACAAGTTTAAAAGTTTTATTAAAGAAAAACTGTACAAAAAGGGTTATTATAATATCAAGGAATACATGAATGAAAATAACCCCTGGGAATAAGGTGATCGCCACCATGCTGGTTCTATGAAAATTCATTTAAAATTGTATAAACAAAATTATTGTTAAGTGAAATTATGTTTAAAAAAAAAGTCCCGCTGGGTTTCTTGCTGGTTCTTCCCAGGACAGAGGTATTTTCCGAACCAGTGGTAAATAAAATAATGACTTTCAATAAGTATTATGTAATAATCCATATTGTATATATATATAGAGAGAGAATAGAGATAGAGAATAATCCATATTGAATAAAAATCATTCTATTCTATTCTATTCTAGTGAGCCAGGTCCAGATATTTTGTCAACTTATCTGTTGCGGCTTTCACGAGGTTCTCGTCATAAGGAATGGTAATGTCGACCAAAAATATCCTTGACTGTGCCCGGTCCATCTGCACAATATCAGGCTTATTCGCAAGAATAGTCCTGTCTGTGATGATGGCCCGGTCCCAGTAGAGCCTGGCGCGGTTATTTTCGAGCACGGCTTCCGGCAAGTAATTATAATATGGAAGTTTTCGATCCACGAGACCGTATTTCAGAGCGAGCTCCTGGTGTAGAATCCTGGCTACTAGGTTGTGTCTATGCAAATACTCAGAGTTAGAAAGCGCCGAACAACCGGAGATGACATGCCTAAGTAACTCACCGGGACGGCGACAAGCTCGACAGATGTCGACGGCGCCATCCTTTAGGATGTATTTCCGATAATTATTGGTCTTAATAACCTGATCCTGTATCGCACAGACAAAACCCTCGTTTTCCCCAAAGAGGTCACCGAAACGTAGCCAGTGGAGGGAGGCGACTGTGTCTACGCAAGGCTCATGTAGAGCCTTGTAGAACCTCCCGTGGAGCTCCTTCTCCTTCCATACGGTCTCCCGGTCGGAAATGCTCCGTAGTGCCGGGTCTTGTCATTGCTCGTTGGCTAAGGATAGAGGGGTAAGTCCTTTATCACAAAAAATAACGTCCCTATAGAATGGATCATCCGCTCTCGTCAGAAAGTAATTACGGAGGCTGCACACTTCGCGATTATGCATGGTAATCGCGCTTAACAAGCCGCGTCCACCATGCTTCCGCGGCAAGTACTGCCTCATTACTGACGACCTCGGATGATGCATCCTGTGGGACGTCATAATATCTATCCAGAGCGTTCAGTTCGGTCTGAGTCCACCTGAGTATGCCAAATGTATACATGAGAACAGGCATGATCCAACCGTTATTTGCATGTGTCTTATTAACGCGACAAAAGACTGTTAAGCACTTTTTTTTTATAGGATAAAGGTGACAAACGAGCACACAGTCCACCTGATGGTAAGTGGTTACTGCGGCCCATAAACATCTACATCTATCATCTATTACAAATCAAAATGCAGATGCGTTGTCACCCGTGAGGACTAAGATGGAATGCCTCATTTCCAGTAAAAAGGGCCACCTGCACTCACCAAGCGAAACGCAGAGGTAAACCTCTACTTCACGCTGGTATTCTGTGAGGTCGTGGTACCACTCCGGTTCGAGTCGGCCCATCCGTGCGACAGCAAAAGCCGCCACGTGGCTCTACCACTGTTGAAAAGCACTTTTGTCAAGCGTGCATAAAACACCGCAAACTGAGTGTTTCATGTCCGCCTCATCGATACCTATGTTCTGTGACATACCCAGGTATCAGTATGTTTCAGCCTCGGATAGGGTCTTTATGTTGATGAGCATAGATAAGTCTATGCCCTCAAAGTTAGCAACCCCACCCCTTTCGACATGGAGGACCGCACACTTATCCGTCCCCAGCTCCATTCTAATAGAATTGCTAAAATCATCAGTGATGTTTAGCAATTCCATAAGATGAGAGCTACTGGAGGAGAATAACTTGAGATCATCCATATAGAAAAGGTGGGTCACTTTTTTACCTCCTCTCCGAAGCTGAAATCCCCTCCCGGAACCCTCCAGTAAGGTACTAAGAGTGTTCAGAGAGAGGCAGAACCAGATTGGACTCAAACAATCGCCCTGGAAGATACCCCTTCTTATCCTTATGTGGTCCTCCGCAGCCGTCATCCGCTCGCCTAGATGACAAAGGATCGTACTCCACTGCCCCATACACTGCCCGAGGAAGTCTTGAACTGTACAGTCAACCTTGTACAGCTCGAGGACCCTCTTAAGCCATGTATGAGGCACCGAGTCGAATGCCTTTTTGTAGTCTATCCAGGCGGCGGAGCGGTTCCGACGGTTGCGTTTAACCACCTTGCCAATGACCGCGTCAATGAGGAGTGGTTCCTTGGTTCCACGACCACCGCCCCGACATCCATTTTGAGCGCGCGACATCACCTGATTTGAGTTCAGGTGACGAGTGATTCTCGCGCTCAAAATGGATGTTAGTGTCTTGTATATGGTAGGTAGACACGTTATGGGGCGGTATTTGCTCGGGTCTGTGGAATCCCGGTCTTTAGGAACCAAATGAGTGATCCCAGTAGTGAAGAGGCTCGGGAGCGAATTTTGATCGAGAGCCTCTTGAAACTGTCGGGCGAGCACAGCGTGACACACCACGAACCCCTGCAGTCAGTAGTGATGCAGTCCGTCGAGTCCCGGACTTTTCCAGTTCGGGGCCCTACGGACCGCCTTAGCTACGTCATCCGGCGTTATGATGACGGGGTCCCTGGGCGTAACATTCGCACACTGACTCGCCACAACTTCCGTCCAAGGGCCCTCGTTGTGGTTTACAGGCTTTGACCACAGGCCGCGCCAGAATGCGATAGTGTCGGCCTGATTCGGTGCTGGGCCCGTTCTACGTACCATTGGTCGCTCCAATGATTCATAGAGCCTCTTCTGATCACTCTGGAAGAGACGATTCTGGTTGAACCGTGTCGACCTCTCGGTATAGCGCCGAATCTGCTTCCCCCAAGCAGCGATTCTCTGCTTCAGGTCGTCTATGCGCTCCGTCAGTTTTTGCGTTATATCCGGCTGGCAGCAAACGCCATCCTGACAGTGCGTACAATTCTCGGCCTATTATTTATTGCCCGACCTGAAGCTTATCAGCCTGCCAATGAGGGCCCTTGCCTTTGCAATAGGGTATTCAATCCTTCTTCTCCAGGCTGGGTTGGCGCTACTTTGTCTAGTAGCGCGTCCAGCCGTGGGAAGCTTGGTGCCAATAATACGGCAAACTGCCAGTGCAGCGCTAAAAAGAATTGAGGCCGTCTCGCAAAGGTCCCGGCTGGCTTCCAAATAGGTCACCAGCATTGGGTTGAGAGCCCTCACGACAGCCCGATTCCGCTTGCTTAGGGGTATACGGGGAAGTCGCGGTCGATTCTCGAGAGGCGTACTGCGCGTTTCCCTAATCGCCTCTTCCAATATGCTCCTCATTTGCTCTTGTTCCTGGGAGACTATTCCATCGTCGCCTGAGTCAACCACAAAGAGATCTACAGCGGCATCTACATGTGCGGATTGCTCTGCAACTCGTAGAGCCGCATCTCCTGTCGTAGTATTTTCATTCGACAAAGGAATAGCCTCACGTCGTAACCGTTCGAGTTCGGCGTCATCAAATATTTTTGAGCGCATGATGTACCGAATGTTATTATTATGGGGGTTATCTATAAAGTTTTCTCATCTGGTTGGGCTGTTTAAATATATAATTGTAAACGAAATATATAAACATACATAAATATCAATAAAATAGAATAAATACATAAAAAATACTTAAATATATAAAAAACCCAACCAGATGGAAGCCCTCGGCAGGGGAGACCAAACGGCCGAGGGTTAGGGGGAAAGGGAAAAAAATCGGCGGACGATGCGGGCGGTATCGAGGAGCACCGCCTTCTGCATTTGAGCTTGGAGCGGTCCGTCACGGAGTCCCAGTCGCCTCAGATGACCCGAGAGGCTAACTGGGATTAACCCGTTCGCAGAAACGACCACAGGAATAATTTCGGCCGGCAGACCACCCCACATGTCGGTCGCCTCGTGAGCCAGGTCCAGATATTTTGTCAGCTTATCTGTTTCGGCTTTCACGAGGTTCTCGTCATAAGGAATGGTAATGTCGACCAAAAATATCCTTGACTGTGCCCGGTCCATCAGCACAATATCAGGCTTATTCGCAAGAATAGTCCTGTCTGTGATGATGGCCCGGTCCCAGTAGAGCCTGGCGCGGTCATTTTCGAGCACGGCTTCCGGCAAGTACTTATAATATGGCAGTTTCCGATCCACGAGACCGTATTTCAGAGCGAGCTCCTGGTGTAGAATCCTGGCTACTAGGTTGTGTCTGTGCAAATACTCAGAGTTAGAAAGCGCCGAACAACCGGAGATGACATGCCTAAGTGACTCACCGGGATGGCGACAAGCTCGACAGATGTCGACGGTGCCATCCTTTAGGATGTATCTCCGATAATTGTTGGTCTTAATAACCTGATCCTGTATTGCACAGACAAAACCTTCAGTTTCCCCAAAGAGGTCACTGAAACGTAGCCAGTGGAGGGAGGCGACTGTGTCTACGAAAGGCTCATGAAGGGCCTTGTAGAACCTCCCGTGGAGCTCCTTCTCCTTCCATACGGTCTCCCGGTCGGAAATGCTCTGTACTGCCGGTTCTTGCCATTGCTCGTTGGCTAAGGATAGAGGGGTAAGCCCTTTATCACAAGAAATAACGTTCCTATAGTATGGATCATCCGCTCTCGTCAGAAAGTAATTAAGGAGGCTGCACACTTCGCGATTATGCATGATAAGCGCGCTTAAAAAGCCGCGCCCACCATGCTTCCGCGGCTAGTACAGCCTCATTACTGACGATCTCGGATGATGCACCCTGTGGGACGTCATTATAGTGCGGACTTTTCTGTCCAGAGCGTTCAGTTTGGTCTGAGTCCACCTGAGTATGCCAAAGGTATACATGATTTATTATTATTATTATTATTAAAATACATGCCAGTCTGTATAAAGATACTAACATTAATCATTAATTTGCTGATCACTGGTATCGTGGCAACTATGGCGAAATTCACCTTATGAGGTATAATATACTTTTGAGATGCTGTAATAGAAAAAGCATGGGTGAGTGTTGTGGAACACTCGGTTGGAACGAAGTTCCTTTCGTAGTATATTATTATTGATAAACGTATTATATTATTAATTAACAAATACAAATAAATGAATTACTAGCGTCTATTAACATGAAGCGTCATTTAAAATAATATTTCTTTCATGGCAAGATAAGAAAAAGTGCGAGGGAGATGGATATTCTTCCATCTCGCTCGCACTACAGAAAGGGGGTCGTGACGGAAAAATCTTACACTTTTTCTCGCCTAACCGTCAATTTTCCACCGTGCGATAAGGAACTTCGTTCCAACAAATGGTCATTAGTTATTAAAAATAAAAAAGTAAATGTGAAATATTATTTAAATAACCGGCCAAGTGCGAGTGGACTCGCGCATGAAGGGTTCCGTACCATGGTAATACGTGTTTCTAGTAGGGGAGACCCCTTTAATTTTAAATTTATTTTAATTTTCATTATTTGTTGCGGCAACAGAAATACACATTCTGCGAAAATTTCAACTGTCCGCTTATTATGGATCATGAGATACAGCCTGCTGACAGACAGATGGACGGACGGACGGACAGCGGAGGCTTAGCCATGGGGTCCCGTTGGTTACCCTTTGGGTACGGAACCCTAAAAAGCGGGAAATTTGTGTGCATTTAAAAACATTGTTACGGCCTACGGCTGCTCCTCCCGAGCAGACGTAGGTCGGGCCTCAATGTGGCCACGTGGAATTTCTCTAATTACACTAAAATATATGGGGGAGCGTTCTATACTACGGCCAGTCGACCGGGAGGAATTAGACGGAGCTTACTTACCTATATCCAAGGCGCCTGGTCCCTCCGGAGTCGGTCTGGTCGCATGTGTTTGTGTAGTGCAAGGGAAATAAGGTGATGCGATGTGTAGCTGGGTGTGACTGATGGTGATTGAACCTAGACCTTGGCCGTCGGCTGCAGCCCGAGCGTCGACACCGCTCCAACTTACTTGAGGGGGCCTTCCGAGGCGTTGTCCACAGTCACTTTCCTCGTTCGTCACTATGACAGTCAATTAACTCTATCGTACGATTAACTAACTTACAGAAGCCACTAACTATCGCTGGGTATAAGGTTAACGCACAAAACGCACACGGAGTTTATGGATCAAAGGTCACTACCGTTTCGCGTAGCAACAGTTAGTTCTAGAATATCAGGCCGCACTAGCTAATATTGCCGAATGCACTTATGCCGATTCTGAGTCAGACACAATGTGTCCCTGGGAAGCTCTCCAGTAGGGATGCGCGTCACCAATCCTAGACCGTATATTTACTGTCCGCGCCTAATTATTCCGAGTTCCCGACAAAAATGACAGCGTGCTAAAGTCAGCACCGCTTACAGACGACTCCGCTTTTTCGCTCGCGACCCGCGCGCCATTGCCACGCTCGGCCGAACTTCAACCGGTATCGCGCCGAGCCGAGTGACATCTGGCGTCGATTCTTGACAGCGTTTGGCGCGAACAAACCCCCGTCCCGGACATAAGAATTTAGATCCGCGAGCAAACCGGTCAGCGGGACAAGGTTGCGACGGCAAGTTGCAAGACCGAATCTACAACCAAACTAGGCCACCTTAGGCACCCCATCAGATCTTGCAACCCTAAACAACGCCTCAAAAGATAGCCATAATGTGGCAAGCCGGAGGGTCAGCCTCCACTGGATGCCCCTCCTGGGCATCGCAGCACTTTAACAAGTCCTGTACTGGACAGAAGTCCAACGACCTCTTTCAAAAACCTATCTGTGCCCCTATGATTAATTAGTTCCGCAATCCGACCGGATCAGGTCTGCAAACAGCGACGCGACACGGAGCGGCCCAGAGTGGCCTCCTAAGCTTCAGTGCAGAGAGCACCCACAAATTCCACATGAACGTCGTCTGTGGAGAGCCTTTTTCCATTGCCATTTTCAACAAGTAGGCCTAGCCAGGCCACCCACCATATTATCATTTACTAAATAGTGCGGCAGCTGATTTCAATCTGATAATCTCCAAAACTAGCTAGCCTGTTAGACAAGTAGTCCTATGCTCATATTTCAATTAATTTTTCAATAGCATCAATGTTCAACTACAGAATTTATTCAACCAAATTAATCACCGATGCACATAGATCAACTTGCAAATTAAACAAAACAATAAACGTAAGAGACAACCCTATTTCTCATTTCAAATAAGTATCTTAGACAATGCCTATAAATGCGAAAACCAACGGAGAAACGACTTCTTATTACTTTCGGCACAAATAGGGTTATCTAATTTCAGCCTTCATTTTCACAAAGCAAAATTAT